CCATGGAGAGAACAGTACTCGTCCCAATGCAGGCATCCTGAATTTGCCAAAGCACAGTCCATATTAAATTACCCGTGTCATTCTTTATTGAAACAAAGTACCAGTTTTATAAAATGAACTGCATGGCATTCTGAGCTGTTTATCAATATTATTGCAAAGTTTTGAAAGTTATATTAAAAAATAAAGCATTATCAGTTATTAGAAGTGCATTTTTCCCCTTATTTGCTTTTTGAACTTTGCATGTTATTTCAACTTTGGCTGTTTCTTTGCTTGTTTATGAGGTGGCATTTTAGGATGCCATGGAAGAGACTAGAAAGGGATAGCTGACAAGGAAAAAATTAAAAATTGGATAAAAAGTAAATGAATAATGTCATATTACCAAAAAGATGAGAGGCTAATTTGTGCCGACTTTTTGCTAATTTTGTTCAAGCCTCAAAATGAGGAGCTGTCACCCGTTCTGTGTAGCACTGATGACAGTGCCAATGATCCATGAAATAAGCTGCCGCTGGCTTTGTTCTGATAAGAATGAACAAATCTGCACAATGTTCGGCTCCCAGAATCTCATTTTCATACTTGCATGCAGGCTAAAAGAAATAAGCTGTTTGCAGACTTGATTAATCAGACATTGGAGGGGTTTTTGTCTCTTTGATCTCTTTCGTCTCCTAGGTAACTTGCTTGACATTAATGTTGAGCTTGAGTAAAGACAATCAGGAATTGTCGACCAAACTGATATAAAAATTAAAGACCTTGACACTTTAAGTACTCCAGTAATGGTTCCGCTTTACTTCAGAAAACATCTGTTTTCATTTAATTAAAGAACAAAAGAGAATGGCATAAATATTTTTCATAGAGACCTATTATTCCATAAAAAGTTAAAGTATGATAATTGGTATTTTTAAATAAGTGCCTTGAAAGTATTCAAAAGGGAGGAAAACTTTATAAATCTGTTCCAGGCTAGTAATTTTGAGATGAGTAAAATATGTTATGAAATGGATGAGAAGTTTACAGTGAGGCCAGATTAAGCTGTTTGAACCAGATGCGCCACGTGATTATCAGCCAGCTCCAGAACAACAAGGTTCAGCAAGGAAAACTAACTTGATTTTGAAAGTTTGTCTTTTTAAAATCTCTACTGTGTTACAGGATGTGCCATTATGTCTATTTTACAGCCCAGTATGATTTACACATGCTAAACCTGTAAAATTGAAAGGAATTAAAAAAATGTCGCGGAGCATTTGCTTGAGGTTATGCAGACGCTTTTACAAATCTTCCAAGTGGCTGTAAAGATGAATGCCTCAAGGGTCCAGCCAGGGCCCTGCTTTCCCAACCAGCTAAGGCCCTTATCTTAAATCCAAGCAAAGTACCATTAATCTTTTTGAAAGACCTTTTATGGCTTTTAATATATCCCAAATTAGAACATTTTACACCCTTGGTTCCTGAAATATGGTGATAAAAAGCCTTTAGAGCTTAATTTTCCTTACCGCTTGCTCTGACCAATTTGCAGTTCTTTGTGATAATGTTTAGACACCTTAATTAAAATGCAGCAAAATATTGGATGTTCTATATGGAAAATGCTGATACTTTGGCTACACATACAAGAAATTCTGTGTATATTTTTATCCATTTAAAAAAATTTCTTGCCACATTGTGTTGCTGTACTTATCTGATGACCCTAAACAGTTTTTTAATATAAAAACCATCGACCAAGCTTTCGTGATGTTTACTTGGGCATGAAGATGCATTTTCCTTTTTGCAGGAGTGAAGGGAGATTCCTGTTGACCTGTATTATTTGTTTGTAATACTAGAACTTTGCACAATATTCTTTTATCTTCTGGAACTTGGGTTAGTCATCTTGCCTGGGAAGTGTGTTTCCTCTCAGCTCTCTTCCATTAGAAGATCTTACTATTCTTTCACATTTTCAAGTGTTTCTGCTTTTTAACTTCTCCACAAGAAACATTTATTTTAAGCCTATGAAGGACACAAAATTAATAGGATTCTTCATCAGCATTGTCAGCTTAAAAGATTTTCTGTGAAACACACAGACCAGGCTTGTTCTGTGTTTATCAGTTGAAGAACATGCCATAAATGGCAAAATACAGATAGAAACTATACCTTTTACACTAACAGGTTTGTTTAAGTATTGCCTGCTACCCAATTATTATATTTACTTAGTGCGCAGAATAGCACCCTCTCATGTAAGTACATGTTTTGTACATTATAATGAATTACTTTTTACAATTTTATACTGTGTCTTGTGGAACATAGGCTCTAAATCTTTACAGTGATGCTGATTTTGCTGTACTTGGCCTTAATGCTAGAAAGCTGAAAGCTTTTACATTCTTGGAGCGTATGACTGTGTTGAGATGAAGAGCCCATTTAAATCAAATGACCGTGAGTTCAGACACATTGAGATGTTCTTTGGTTTATCTGTCCCAAATCTAGAAAACCCGGATTGGAAAATTTCAATGAACTTAAATGTAAGATACATCTTATTTTATAGCAGTTTTAGAAAATAACTTGATCACATGGTTATTGGTATGTGGCAAATATATTTTGAGTCATTTTTATTTCATACTCAGAGTATAAGCTCAATTTAAATATAAGATAAACTAGTTGAGCGGTACCTCTGTTGGGGAGCTTACTTGGCAAAATTTGCATTTGATACATAACACATAGGAATATAGTTAAGTAGAAAAATACGGAGTTCTGTGTTTTGCCTTTTGGAAGTGGGGACAGGGAAGAGACTGAATATTCAGCATGAATGTGGAGAAGCCCTTGCACATCTTAACCAGGTAGCAGGCTGCGTTTAATGCCAGGCCGTTTATTAGGCACACTTGCTGCTCTCCTGGTGTTCCACAGGGCCCCGTGTTCCCACGCCTTGCATTTAGGTGGAACCGTGTGAGCAGTTCTGACCAGAGGGCTGTGAGCAGAAATGACGTTCGTCACTTCCATACTAAAGCTTTTAGGAGCCAGGGTGAGACTCCGGCTGGCTCTTCTCTGTCACAGTGAACTCAGCTCGGAAGCCACACATTGAGATGCTTGCACCACAAGGTGGAGGAGAGCCCTGCACATCCGCTGCTGACTTTAAGTGAAATGGAAATCAAAGTTCAGCCAGTGAGACTGGGGATTCGTGTGCTACTGCAGATTTGACTAGCCCAACCCGACAGGCGCTAACCTGATTTTTCACCATGACAAACGGGTAGTTTTTCAGTGGGTAGAAAACCTTTCTTACTGATAAATCATCCCACAGCATCCTTCAGTTTCATTTCTTCTTCCCATGACAGTGTGACAGCCCCTTGAGTCTTGGCCTTTTTTAGTTGACTTAGATGAACTATTCTATGATAAAGAACTGGAAGTAAAAAGAGAACCAAGAGAACAGGTACAGTCTTGAAGCAGTAAAGCGTCCCTGGCAACCCTTCTCCGAGCCCCACAATTTGGAAATAAGTCCTTTTGTTCACGGCTCTAGCTCCATTGCCTAGAACAGTGTCTGGCAGAATAATGCACTTGTGCCCTTAGAATATCTGCTGAGTGCATGTTATCCCTGTGAAAGGAGAGGGTGTTGGCAGAAGTAGCGCTGTTAATGCTGGTTGGAGTTTTGAGAAGAAACTGATCTGCCTTTTCCCGCGGGCTCCCAAGTTGCACCTGGTCGTCTTCTCTTCAGTGGCTTTCCTGCTGGTGTTGACCAAGGCAGCACCTTGGTCTGTCAGGCTGCTTCCATTTATTTCCATTCTTTCTGTAGGCTCTTCCTGGACTGAAAAGTCAGGCCTGTGTTTGCTCTCACTTGGACCCCGCCAGCGCTTGATTACCACTCATTTTGTATCATTGTAAAGGAAACTGTCCTCCAGGGTAAACTGGAGGGAATGTCAAGCACGCCAGACCTCACTTTGCTAAACCGGCTTCTCTGCTAACACATGTGCTCTTAGCTACCTACCGTGTCTCACTATTGGCAGGCAGATTCCTAAAACTTGGACTTTCATACATTGACTTTAAGTGGTTCCCGGTTCTTTCTTCTTTTGCATAGCCTGCTGTCCACTAATGTGCATTAGGTCAAGTACGGGGACATAAAAGGTAAAAAAGCCCAGAAGGAGTGTTGGCCATTGTTTAGCCTGGGTTCACGTACTTTTGAGCCATCCATGTAGACAGGCATTTTGAATGAGAGCCCCTAAATCAGGCCCCATTCCTGTCCTGGATACACTTGCCTAGGAGTAGCCATCCCTGCAGCAGAGCCAGGAAAGCAGTGTGGTAACAGGAGGAGCTGAGAAGCTGGAGAGAGGCAGAAACAAAGACTGCGATAGGCGGAGTTAGAGAAGATTGCGGGGCTGGAGGGGAGGAGGTCTGTTCAATTGTACCTTGCGGGACTGGTGGGTGGGTGTGAGGGGGGTATGAACCTAGGGACCAGCAGGGAAGACTTGGAGGGAAGTCTTAGGTACTGCGGCCTGGTGCCCAGCCTCTTCACCTCTTAGCACCCCTTTCGTTCTTTTCTGTCAGTGAATGAAAAGCTGTTGCCCATCATACAAAAAGTGCGTTTACAAAGGAGTAATTAGCTTTCCCATGTTTATTAATCACATCTATGCCAATCAGAGCCTCTGATCAGCATGAGACAGCTGGTGTGACCATACTGAGTTGCTATAACTCTAGCCCAGAGCAAAGAAACGTGATGTCTCTGTCAGCCTGTGCAGTCTTATCGGGCAGATTCCTATTGGTCTATTGAAATGCTCAGATAGCTTGCAGGTCTTTACCACAGCCTTGTGGACCCTCAAGGGGCCTCGTTTGGGAAGCATTTCCACTCAGGAGGCAGGAACAGCTAGGGCGAGGGGTCTGTGGGAGGTAAGGGAAACATGGGCCCCATCTACATAGCCTTTATACTTTGGTTGTTCAAGGAGGCATGAGTGTAAGTATTTCTCATTCCTGGACGCAGCTTTCTTACCCCTAAGTTCTCAAATATTTGCGTTCTTGTAGTAGCTGGAATATTTATTTTCTTTTTTCTTCTTTCTAATTTTTAGCTTGGTGTAAAAATTGCCAAAGCAATTGCCTGCCATAACTTTGTAAAAGCCAAAAAGGAAGCTGAAAATTCACAGGTTGCTCGAAAAAAGAAGAAACTTGCATGGGGGTAAGTGTAAGGTGCTTAGTGGCAACTCTGCTAACTTCCTAGAAATGAGCACACCCTGTGACAGGTTTACGGGTCCAGTGTGTGTAACTGGTTTCACTGTATTCTTTGTATTGGTGCTGGGTGTTTATCAGATTATAAAGAGGGAGGCATTTCTTCATCCTGTTGGATGTGTATTTTGTAGTCAGAGTATGTGAAAATTTAAGTTTATTTTACTTCAGCACTTGGCAAATATGTTACTTCAGTGAAGTATTTTAGAAATAAATTGAGATTTTTATGTTCTTCGTTTTAGATTTGAAGCAAAGAAGAGATGGGAAACCAAAAGCAACATGGGATACATGTGACCTGCCAGAGCTCTTCAAGATGTTGTGTCTTTTCTTGAGCTTTACTTGATTCTTCAAGTGCTCAGTTGACTGAAAAGATATTCCTGTTTATGTTAAACATGTCAAGAAATTGATAGAAGTAGAAAAAATAAGCATAACATTTGGGGTTGGTTATCAGTCTTTTTCTAAAGAGTTCATCCTGTGGAAGTGAGTGGAGTGGAGTGTCTGTTATTTGCACAAGGAACCTAAGCACACAGACGGGGGGAAGATAGGGTTTTATTATTTATTTATAGAGACCTGCAGTATAAAATCGATTCTGCTTTTCATCCATTTGGTGTGGCATAGCCGATGAGCTGCTTGTGCTTTCTTATCTGTTCTCAGTGGAACTGCACTTATTCTGGAATCGTGTTTTTAAGATTGGCATTTGTTTATGATGGATTAGTCATAAATGTAAGAAAGTCTCCGTTGATACTGTTTTTTACAAAGGACTTCATCTTAATGTTCTAAAAGTAATGATTGGTTCTTACTGGGTGCAGTAGAGTTGATACTTGACGGTCACTAATAAAAGCAGTTGGTTGGTTTTGATGTGCCTTCAGATAAAATATTACAATAAAAAAAGGACAGAAGGTAGCGTCTGGAGGATGATTTAAATTCAGCTCTGCCTGGGAATGTCTTCCTAAATATCTCTCTCAGCCAAATCATTCTTTAAATTATGAGATGATTCTTAGAAGAGAAAATGGTATGATTGTATTAGACTGTATAACTCAGGCACTATGACATTGAACCTTCTAAGAACATGGTTCGATCGTTTTTGCCTGTTTCCCATTGCTTCTTAAAAGATTGATGCATTGATGAAGTTTAAGAGAGGATGGTGCCGTGGGAAGTAGATTTCATTAGGTGTGTGGTCATAGTCCTAACTGGAGGGCCTTTGAGAAATACTAAACCGAGCTGCTGACAAGCCCACAGCTGGATGTTGGGTCTGGGCAGGCCTTTGGTATTTTGGCTCCTCCCTACTCAGTGCGCAATAGAGATAGAGAACTGCTTATTGTGGTTTTTATCAGTTCACCGTCCTTCCATCTTTACCGAGGTTCTCTAGCTATCTTACAAAAACATTTTGGGTTGATTATATAATTTTCGTAACATAAGAAATGAGTCATGATTATAATTCTATTGTTATTTTGTCATTTTTAGATTTACAGTAGTAGCAAATTTTACTGATTTATTGGTGGCACATTTAGTGTTTTACCTATGTTCTGGAATGAATAAGTTACCATTTAAGAGAACAAAAACCATATTTTGCTTCCTGTTAGGTGAGAAAAACCTGTATAGAGAAAGCAGGGCTTTAGGAGATGGTTTATCTACTTATAGAGTTCATCTTGAAAAGATGTCCAGACCAAATACTGGGAAGTCTTATATTTTATGATTTAATACCTCTGTTGCATTTTGTAGATACAATCATATACTGCTTACGTACAACATATCATTTTAAAATCCTAATAGGTAAATGCAAACTTATAGCATAGGAACCTTTGCTTTAAAAAAATCCGCCACATAATCCCAGTTATTGTTGAGCCGGAGGGTAGGACAAGATTCTTACACATAGGGCCCCAGGATGGGCATGTCCCTGCAGCCTCTGCCTCATATTTCTTCTCCCGTATTCACTTCCTCAGAGCATTTAGTGACCCCTGCAGGCACGTCTCACCAGTCTGCTCATGCTGAGGCCTTGCCAGAGTGGGCTCCTAAAGGGTTTGTCCGATTGGGAGCCCTTTCTCAGCCCGTCCCAGTGCCAGCGCTTGCCCTACTGTCTAATGTGGGTGGGGCATCTGAACTGAGTGGGAGGCATTATGGCATAATCAGATGTAGCAGGGGATGAGGGGAGCCACAGCTCATAAGTCCCCACTCTTTGGGGGCCTGGGTTATGAAAAGCTCCAAAACATGGTATAGAAGAAGGGGGTGGGGGTGGGAGGGAAGGATTGGAGGGACAGCAAGGGACCTGTTGTCTTGGGTTCCTCTTCATCTGGTCACAGCAAAATCAGGATTCTTTTTGGATCAGTAATAACTGTAGTTCCTGGAGCTCTGACATGTGCGTTTACTCCCCCCGGATGCCTGAAGTAGATTAGTAATGTAAATGTCAGTGGTCGTTAACAGAGATGAATACGTTTCAGGCCATCAGGATGGCGTTAATGTAACTATGATTTATTAAGGACTTCAGGCTAAAACAACTCACTGAAGGATGGTAATTTTGAGCTTAACAGCGCTGGTTCTGAGAGTGTAGTTGGTCCTGTGTTCTTGTTCGGGAGCCCTCAGGATGTTTCTGGTTTTCAGCAGGACACTCTACTTCTTTCACCAGAAGGAGAGTTTCAATGTGTAATCTCAGCTTTGCTATAATTAGTTCTGATGACAGAGCTAAATACCTTGGCCAACACTATAAATCAGCAGTTAAACAGGTTTCTGCAACTGATCGTAAATCTCAGACTCCATATTTTAAACACACTTATTTTTTTTAGAGAGACAGCTAAGGGAGGGGCAGGCCAAGGACAGAAATAAAAGGTTATCTGAACTTTGAGCAGCAGTGTAGAACCTCACATTTAAAATCTTACTGATTCCCCTGGTACCTTTTGTCTAGAATGTTATCTTTTAAATACTTTAACAACTGAGCTTATTATTTACTCTGATAAGACATGTTCGAATTCTTAAAATATGAAGATTAATTTTCAAAATGTCCAAATTCTTATTTGCTAGGTAAAGATACCACTTTAAAAAAAGTATGTCTTATTAAACTATATAAAAATATATGAGGTTGATATTTAAATAAGATTCCAATTGTGTATCTTTTTTTAAGAAATAAAGCTTAGGGAAACCAGATGATGTTTGTTGGACTCCATTTTGGAAAAATAACTGTGAAACCTAGTAGTCAAATTCAGAACCAACTGAAACAATTCAAGTTTCTCCATGTTGGCAGAAGTTGCTTTTATTTTTAGTATCTGGCAGAGCAGTAAGTGCTTTTCCTGTCAGTTTAATAGTTTTTCAAGCCAACTGTTTATTCATTGGCTTAAAATTTACACTCTGTTAAAGTCTTAGCTCTGACTTTCATGAAACAAATAGTAATATTTGGACAAAATATGTACAGGGAAATCTTTTTCCAAAACCTAACGTTGGTTGATTGGTATTTGTGGCATCAGTGCCCTCTAATGTGGTAACAGATCTAAAGTGCTTTGAAAAGTCTGAGGCATTGAACCCTGCGGTACTGCATTTCAGGGAACTAATTTTTATTATGAAGTAATTGGGGCATCTTTCTAGGTTTTCAGATTTAAATTAATGAGGAACTTTCTGCTAGGAAGCGGGATCTATGTTAGAGTAAATACCAATGAACTATGAAAAGATTATCTTATGAGTGTACACCTATTCCTGACTTCTGTAGCTTACCGAGACAGTAAGACATGGCCCATTTTCCACGGCTGAGGTCAGGGTGCCCTGTAGATTTTGATAAAATGAGCAGAGCTGCGTCCTTTAGTCTTTAGTATTTTATCTTCCCCCATACTGCTCACTTTAGAATGAAAGTAAACCCCACACATTGGTAGTGCTGTAGCTGTAATCAGCACAGAGACTACTGGGGAGGGGATTCTTGACCCCAGGCAAGAACGTGGCAGGCAGCATGGGGCAGATCAAGTTTGCCATGAAGAACCTGAGAAAGGAGCCAAACCATTGTGCTCTCGTGTGAAAATGGCACATTAGGCGCCTTCATCAAATGTATCTCCTCCTATTCCCTGGTGGGAACTCTGGAGGTACGTGTTCATTTTGCTAGGATTTCTTCAAATACCCTGGTGCTGAGAGAGTAGCTTCCTGCCACACGGCTTTTGTGATCTTGACCCCTGGAGGGTAACTACAGCTTTTGATGGGAATGCCCAATAAATGCCATGCCATGTGCTGTGTTTTCAGATGTGCTTGTAAAATCAGGAATTAGCTGAGGGATCATTATCTTTTTATTAGTGTTAGTAACCCCTTTTAGATTTAAGTACAGAAAGCATAGCATTTTTAGATTAGGCATGTGCCTTTTGTGTCTACACCGGGCATCTGAAGGAGGCACAGAACAGAAGGAATGAAAGGGGAGGGAGGGTCATACCCGAGAGAAGCCTGGCCTCCTGGGTGCTCCTGTGCCAGGTCCCCCCACGTCCCCTCACCGGCATCGTTCTGGAGCCCAGCCGCCCCTCCTGAGCCCATGGGCCGCCTCTTGCCGAATTGCTGCAGGGGGCCTTCTGTGTGACAGGTATGGGGTGAGGTAATCGCTTCCCACCTCTAATTTCTCAAGGGTGTGTCTGTCCAGTTATTACTTGTTCATTGAACTGAACGGTTTGGAGACGGGCAGCTGCGGGCCAAGCTGTAATTACCGATGTCTGCTCCCCGTTCATCTGCTGGCCCTGGCGTTCGGTCAGGGAGCTGGTGCGCCGCCTCATCTCTCATGTTTCATGGTTTGAGGGGACGGTCTACAAGCGGGACTGCCCAGAATAAAAACTCGTCACGGGTAACATGGGTGATACTAGAAGTCACCGTGAATGTCACAAGCAGTAGTGAAGCAGTGGAGCGTGTCTTTTTTTATTCCTTTCTGCATACTGCCTGAGAAACATTTACTAAACACCTACTGCATGTCAGACCTGGGCAGTCGTGGGCCTGGCCTGGGAGTGGGACAGTCCTGTCACTGCACCGGCCAGACCTGGGTGACCGCCACAGCCACCTGCACGAGGCTGCGAGGTGTAGATGGCTGCTCCCAGGAGGAAGAGGAGACGCCTGTTAGTAACCAGCTGGCAGTGGCGGTCGCGCTGCCTCGGTCACACGGGACCTTGACTTGGAACTGTCTCAGGCCTGATGCCGAGTAGTACAGACCGCTATTTGCGAGTTGATCAGGCAGTTTTCCTTGGACGTGTTGACAGAGCTGATCAAAATAGCCACTCGTGTGACCAGGTGATGTGCACGGTGTGGGCCCCGAGGATCTGCGGTGCAGAAGCGCTGAGATGGAGTGATGAGCTCAGTGAGGCACAGGTGAGAATGCAGTTGTCACCTGCGGACAGTCGGGGCCCACGGCCGGGGTGAGCTTAGTATAATTCACAAGGGTATTGGGACTTCGCTCCTGAGACCATTGAAACAAGGGTGTCCCAGGCCACTGCAGGGAGTTAGTGGCAGGGTGGTCTGGGCGGATGGAGGTCCAGCAGTGGAACGGTGACATTGGAGAGGGTGGCTCAGCCCACCTGCCACAGCTTTGTGAGACATGCTAGGGAGTTTAGACTCCAGTGTCTAGGAAGTGAGGGGACAGTGACAGAGTAAGAAATGTGCAAATTCACATACGAGGAGCCGCGGGTTGAAAGGTGATTTCAATAGTCCAGGAAGAGCTGATGAGACCCTGAGCCACGGCTGTGGGAGGCGAGGGGAGGGTGTGAGTCCTGGAGGTGTCAGGCGGCAGATTTGACAGGACTTGCAGGCTATTTGCATTGGGGGAGGGAGGGGTATGGGGAGAGTTGGGTACCTACAGATGGTGACGTGGGATGAGGAAGGTAGGGGCAGGTAATGTGGGTCATTTACTAATTTAGTCATTGAGTCATGTCACATCAGGCATCTTGTGATGCCATATTTA